CTTGAAAATATAGAATAAATATTATCTCCTGTCATTGCTATACATCGAGGTTCGGCTTCTTCCTTCGGAGTACCAGCTCATAATTAGCTGCTTTATCGTCTCTGATAATCTCAGAGAAGGCCCATGCTAGGCGCCGCCTTCTGAAACACAGGCCTTTCGACGAGATAAGTTCGGGAAGTGCTGCATGCGCACTCCCTAAACTCTCGCACCGTGCATCTGTCTGGTCATATGACATACGGACGCATATCTCCTGCGGGTGTTTGCTAAGGTTGTTCCACTTCTCCTGTCTCGGACTTCTTGAAGATGAGAATCCTCAATTTTAGTTCCGAGGGCACCTATGACTGAGAAGCGAATTGCATCTACGACACGATGGTTCTGAAGTCTGAGGTTAGCGCTGCCGCTTATTATTATTATCGGGCCTTGCGACGGAGGAGGTACGTCACTTCGAATCGAGGTAGGCTCAGAATGTTGGCGGTCCGAATATCACTGACAAGTCCACGGAAGAAGCGACTCAGATAGAATCGGATGCGCCGCACTTCGGAGAGCTGTGAGTGACGGAACTTGGATCGGCAAAAAAACCCGGAGCTTGAGCCTTGGGCCTTGAATCATATTGAGCATCAGAGATCTTGACAGGAGTCTCCAAATAATTCTTTTGACTTACACTTGTGATGCGCTCGTCTCGCCTGGACAACCACACAAATATTTGCGCAGAAACTTCCGAAAACTCAAGCTTGGAATAGCCAAGCCTTTCTAATACTAATTGCCGTCGCCCGGCGGTGGACAGCTTTTTCAGCAGGAAAACTTTTGAGGGCCTTACACCATGAGCGCTGATGCTTGTGGAAGTTCCCCATGGTGCACCTAGCTAGGGTCAAGGCGTAAGCTGCAGGGCCTGCTCAGAAACGAGACTACGGATACGCCGAGAAATAGCCGAGCACTTAGCGCGTCTGACACTTCTTGTGCGAACGTGCGCCTCACATCATGGGTTCCATTTCGTGCAGCGGCTCGACGGGGGGCAGGTTCGAATCCTGATGTTGGAAAAGTTCCCTCACGGAGTTTCCTCGTGGATACACGGGTATAGGCGTCAATCGACTCTACCCGAATACCCCGTAGCTCTACCCGGTAGCTGACTCCGAAAATACCTCGTATGAGTGCCGAGGATGTTGAGCCTCGTCCAACACCAAGTCTGAGCCCCATGAGTTCAGTCACTGTCGTGATCAGTGATCAAATAGCATGAATCGGAATCTCAATTCGGCTCCCTCACGACTCCTGCCCTCGGGCCCCTCACGCTCCATCAGATTCGCGACTGCTCATGACTCATGACAGAAACAGCTTTTAGTTTCGAGAGATATCCGATGTCTTGAATCACCAATCGTCGAGTCTTCAACTCTTCTACGAGCTCGACTTGATACGCTTTACGACTGAGAAACTCAATGAAACCCTCATTCGCCCAGAAGAGCGCTGTATGTCACACCAGACGGCCTCGCTGAATTCATCGCTTCGCCGTCGTCTTCGCTCCCTTTCTTCTCCCTCGTTGTTTCCCCTTTATTTCTTCGCTCTCCTGTTGCTTCTTCCCGGCTGGGCCTGAAAACCCCGGACTCTTTGATGGTGGATTGAATTCCCGCTTTTTTTCCCCAATTCTCGAGAATCGACACAGAGGCTTTTCTTCTAGCTCGCTCGGTTTGGGGACCGAAGACGAAAAAGCGTCCTCCTGATTTCGTATTTGATTCCTTACAAAAAAGACGTCTGATTCAGCATCAACACACACAAACACGTTAATTGTTTTGGAGTTTCCCCACACACAAATACGTTTATTGTTCTAAAATTTTCACCCTGCTATTTGCTATTAGACGCTGGAGTCTCTATATACACAAGTTCCCACGCTATAAGATATCTATAGGAACATACCGAATGTTCTGACTTCAAACGTCGGCGCTCACTGTCGACGGAAATCTCTATTTCGTGGCCCAGCTCCCCCCCTCTCCGAATTCTTCCCCCTGTATACGCCCATGGTTGACACGTTATGATCTGCTCCAGAGGAAGCCAGGTGGTGTCTTCATCGGCTCCTCGGTGCTCCGAATCCTTCCCGTCGGTGGTGGAGACCGGGAGTTCCGCGCACCCCCTGAAACTCATGTTGAAAGTCACGTCCACGCCATAGTCAGTTCAGTGGGCAGGAGGATATAAGAATAAGTCGGCAACTTTTCGCGGCGCCGGCGTCCGGCATTCCGATCCCGCCAGGCGACGGAAATTCTTCCGGCCAACATAGCGGGAAGATTATGCGGTCTCCGTCGGCTCTCCCACCGCCCGCTCATCTCGAACGAAGAGGAATGCATCCATCAATGTAAACATGGCAGCTCTGTTTACTACCTTATGAGCCTACCTCGTTCGCATTTCTCTCTCGCCATTTTCGCTGCCGCGACCACGTCGAATTCAACCTTCGCCGCTGCTTTGACCCCTCTCCTCAGTCCGGATTCGTGAAAGACTTTGTCCAGAGACGGCCGTATTCGAGTCATCGACAGGACGACTCAACCACTCTTCGGCCCATGAATTCCGATTGCTCATTGTGCTTGTGAATGATAGAACGATCAATTGAACTGACAGCGCTGAGTGTTTATTCGATTGCGGGCTTGACGCGGGAAGCATTCATCAGCATCTATCTATCTACTTCGATCTATCGAGTTCCTAAAGGTATTTTGAGCATCTATCAGCGAATCTGAACGCCCGCGTGAAATCTCCTTCAATTGAATTCTTAGGTCAATTCCCCCTCACTCTGGGAGCAATACGGCGGACACTGCTTCGATCTTAGCCCAGACGAGCGGCACGGGCAGAGCAAAGGTTCCATCAAAACATCGATTCTTGCTAGCGTGAGCGGGCCCACGTTGTCAGGAGCAGGAACTTTGAGATATCCCATTCCCTAGGTTCTTGGATCCGCTTCCAGACTAGCCTTCCGAGCGACTCATCAATTGTGCGAATTCATTGCCAAGACGATGGTCGGATTACCCATTCGAGACGATCTCGCGCTTGCTCTAATCCCGCTGAGACGAGTTTTCTTCCTGTCGTATGTTGTTGAGCGCATCCTCAGCGTCGAGAATATCGAAGCTTCCATCCGGGCCGCTTCTAAGTCTCACGAGCCGCTATCGATGTTCAGGTCCACGGCCAGGGAAATCTAGATAGGAACTTGCTCCCGAGAAGCTCCAGGCGAGAATCTCGCGAATTGTTTACTTGAGTCGAAATCTTCCGATATGCTGCTCAGCTCCATTATTCCGCGATTGGCAAGTTGATCCGATTCCCAGAATCCTGGAGGAAAGCCTCGGCGGATTCTGTCATGACCTCCAGCGTCCCGGCGGCGGCCGGCTGAATTCGCGCTTGATCGTGTCTTACTGGGAATGCTGCCAGAAGAAAGCTCATTGATTGAGGCTGCGAATTATTTGCCTTATCTGCTCCAATGAAACTTCATATTCGATCCGGCATTTTCTGTGTCTGTCTGACTTTCCCGGGGGACCCTCGCGGATAAACAAGTTGAATCAAACACTGAACTTATAATACTACACTCTCTCTCAATATTCCTCACGAAGCCGCGATTCAAGAACGTGTCCCCTGAATCCTGAAGAACGATTGCTCGTTCATTGCCTCTGAAAAACAGATTTGATCGTTCCAAGTCAATGCAAGGAATCCGCGAACGGCCTTGTCGTCGTTGCTTCATTGACTCACTGCTTGACCGCCTTGTTCGGTTGGTCGCCTGGACACTGTCTTGATCGTACTTTTTTTGCCTGCTCGCTTGTTTTGTTGAACGGTCGGACGGATGGTTGGTTGGCTTTTTGGTCAAATGCGTGCTCACGTTGCTGCGCGTAAAAGCCACCGGAGTAATTTTTATCCATTCCAACGACCTATGTTGTCGAGGACACTGCGTCGTTTTCTAAACGATTTCCGCACACCGAGCGAAGGATTTCGCTGCATTTGCGAGCACGTTCATCGGTACATCTCGTTCGATTCAAGGATCGGTCCCATCCTTCAATGCAGAAGGAGGAGTTAACAGAACAACTGCAGGATTCACGAGCGCTCGGGTGGTCCAGAGCATCTTCCTTCGCGGAGCACCGCACGATCTCCAAGGCAATCAAGTTTTCTGGACCTATCTTGCGAGCCAGGGTTCGCGGTATGATCTTCCTCTACAGGAAGTTTGTCCGAAGAGCCACCTAATCCTCGTTCGAGATTCGGGAAATATCAGCGGTTTCATTGCTGACAGCCTACCTCATGTGAGCCGTTCTCATGTGGAACCCTGGTTCGAATCCTTTGCTCACTCCGAACCTGGGAAAGGAACGATAATCAAAGGTCCTCGTCTCATGAGACGTCAAGCCGTCGGCGGTGTTCGCCCGCCTCCTAAAGGAATCTCGGGGCTGCACGCGGAGCTCAAGCGAGAGTGGTCTTGATCCCATGTAGAGACGATTTGGAACTCCCGCGCAGGAAAAGTGATCGACTCTAAAGAGTGAGATCGTAGTTTATTTCCCCGGAGTGCTGTGTTTGTTTAAAGTTTCGTCGGATCATAACAGAACGGAACTTTGCGCTTCTCAGAAGATTTCCTCGGTAGCTTTCGATTTCGACGTGGTTCGGGGATGGCTTTCGAGGAGGAGAAACTTGTTCCGTATCGGGCGCTTCCTCCGAAGGCGAAAGTTTCCATCCAACCCATTCGGTCCTTCCCTTTTCGGTGACATGAGAGAGAGAAACCGACGATTCTCTCGCCCTGTGTCATACATGCCTCGTAGATTGTCTCTTGAAGCTCATTAACTGTATCGCATATCGCCATCACGGTCACGAAGAGGTGAGGGCAATGCATTCGTCGCGGCGGCTTGCCGGGCAATGTCGGCCATGATTCGAGTCGGCTCATCTTCGAGCTCCCGGAGATGCTTGAGCTTTTACTTATAGATTATCCGCTCAAAACCTCGATGCACACGAGCAAGGATAGACATCGACGCTCTGTGAGCTCCTGCCTCATGAGAGACCCACAGCCTGGACTCTCTGGGTGGGGACGGAGGCAACCTCCGGAAGAAATTATTGAACTTCAGGATACGAGCCCTGAGACTTTGCAATTCGTTTCCGCATTCGAAGAGCTTTCCGAGTGAAATGACGATCTTCGCGGTGTCCCGGAAGACTTGATCAAGAACCCGGGAATCAGTGAGCAACAAGAGGAAAATATCCATCTTGGCTTCTATCAATCTAAAATCAAGGTTGAGTTTCGAGAGGAACATTGACGGACACGGCCTTGTGGAATTTCCCCTGATCTGAGCGCAGCTTCATCTTCAACGTGAACGCTGGCCCTGCTGCTCTCAACGACAATGAAAATCTGGGTTGCTGGTTGCTGCTCGGAGTCTTGGAGAAGTTTTCTGTTCCTGTTTAGTCGAATTCCATACGATCGGCGGCTCCCTAGAACTATTGATTCGATTGGTCGAGCTCGTCTCTCCCGAAATGGAACTTCTTAAGCGGCGGCCGCCTATCGAGAGCGGCCAGTCGCACGAATATCCCGGCTGAAGGAACAGCGAGATCCGAACAAGTGCGGAACCTTGATCACTCATCACGTATCCGCAACGAAGTATTCCACATATAGCTGACACAGCTCGCCGCCGATCCCACCTCGTGAATCGACCTCAACATACGGGAGGGGGCGTCACTGCGGTCTTCGAGCTTCTCGTCCATGCTGATCGTAGTCGTACGGGAGCTCACGAGTAGACTTATTCTTAGTTCCCGATTTCCACCTAAGCCGACTTGGTCGCTATCTCATGTCTCTGCATTTTGGCAGCCCGTCCCGAGTCGGAAGCGTCAGCAGCTTGCATCGATTCCCAATGGTATTCAGGTTCTCTTTGTTCCATTGCGTAGTCGACCGGCTCTTACCCTTTTTGAGTAAGGGGGCTCTGAGGTATGAGTCCGTCAGGTCCCCATCGTGCATTGCCTCTTAGGAAAGCCTTTCGTGATAAGCATGCGTGCGAATCGGCAAACCTTTGAAAAGCGCTCGCTGGACGCAGTGGATTTCGCGAGAGACCGTGACTCTCCTCTATAGCGCAATCAGCCGCAGATTCGTTGTCTTGGCCGAGGACTTCAATTCTGCCTCGATCGAGTGGGGGAGCCGGATGGGCAATGAGAAGGAGAGAGTGTTGCTGGAGATGACCGGGGCGCGAGGTCTGATCTTCGCAAATGATGGTAGGTCGCCAACCTTCAGGAGGGGGGATCTAGTCTAGTCGCATAGAGACTCCAAGTCACCAGAGACCAGAGGATGTCTCAACTTGTTCATGGAAGCTTCCCGGTGGATGAGAGACTTGACACGCATCATGTAAATAACTCTATTGTGTGTGAGAATGAATCCTCACGGTTCGTACATTGCGTGTCTTGAAATTGCACTGAGCACGAAAAATTGACGAGTATGGAATCATAGACGGAAGCTCGTATGGGTCAGATTGAGAGCCGCACACCCATGAATGCGTTCTCATTTCAGTTTCCCATCAGGAGCCCGACACTGCAAATACCTTGGGTTCCTGTTTCCGAAAGAGTCCTCGCCCATTCCGCATTCCGCCCTCATGGTTTCCGCCCGGATCTCAATCCGCCCAAAAGGTTTTCGCCCAAATGACATTCCGCCCGAATGGCATTTCGCCCAATTGGCAGTCTCGCCTTTTTTACGTTCCACTCAAATGACCTGTTCCGTCGTGACCTCTGCTAGAAAGCACAACCCTCTCGTTTTCCCCATCCTCTCCCTTGCCCCACCTCCGGGCTCGCCTCTCCTGTGTTCCAGAGTCCAGAGCCCCCTCCGCATGTGATATCTTGCTGCTCCCTCTAACAGATTACCTCATGCTGTTTTACAAACACGCGCGATCGCCATGTTAATAAATGAATTAATAGATGAATGAAAGTGGTTTGTGTTCCAATTGAGCTTGCGCGCAGACTCACGTCAGCGCTTGCACCACACCATCCTGCATTTTCTACTTCGAAACCTTGTGCTTCCAACCCTCCAATTTAGCGAGACTCTTTGAGAGGGGAGAGTTCGACTCAGCTTTTGGGTTGATGGGTCTTCGGACTGATGGGTGCACACCGAACCCCCAGTGGATCGAATAAGTACGAGCTACTAGACGATGGGGTTTAAATCACCCTAGGCAATCGAGGGTCCGCTCGCTCTCACCCTCTACACTGGATCTGTATTTGAGCAATGCCTAGAGAGAAACAAACGTCGAACACTGTGATTGAAACCCCAGGCTGCTACTCTGCGTTTAAATGTGTGATCGAAGCCCTTGAGTTGAATCCGAGCAAACTTTCCCTCATAACCTGCGATCGGGAAATCCAGGTCTAACACGTAATCGGCACTACAAGCTCTTCGAAAATCTTATTCTGCGAGACCCTATTACTCAGGAAAAAGAATCACGACTACATTTGGTGAGTACCAAGAAAGTGAGAGCGGGAAGTAGCGTCCAATCCAGCGAGTAAAGTCGCGAGATGAACCTTCCATAAAAGGAACCCCTCGCGTGAAACAGACCTCCCGTATAGCGAACCCCTCGCGTGAAACAGACCTCCCGTATAGCGAACCCCCCTATATGAGTAACATTCCGTATAATGAACCTCTTGTAGAGTTGTTCGTCACTGGGGGAGTTCCTTGTGCAAGGGGCCCCGCTGTACGGAAGGTTCGTTCCACGCGAGGGGTTTCTTATACGGAAGATTTGTTCCACGCGGGGTTCGTAATACGAAAGATTCGTTATGAGCGCGACCTTCCCGCGCAACCAGGGGTGAATACCGCCTTGTCGGTGAATAGTGAATACCAAGAAGCCTCTTGGGTACTCATCCCCGTACAGCAGATAGGTAGGCAGAAGGGTTCGATATATCGCGAAGGAGCGGCCTCTGACGCGGATCCTCCTTTCCCTCCGCAGGAGCGACCGATCTCACTTCCCGACAAGATGACTCCGCAGGAGGTCCTGTTCGGGTCGGGGTGATTTGAGCGCAGATTGATTTGTGCGCAAAATCGATCTGAGCGCAGAGTCGATTCAAGTGCATGATTGTTTTGAGCGCAATTGATTAGAGCGCGATTGATTTGAGCGAGCGCGAAATTGATTTGAGCGAAATTGAGTTGAGCGAAATTGATTTGAGCGAAATTGATTTGCGCGCCTGGTCGATTTGAGCGCATAGTTGATTTGAGCGCATAGTCGATTTGAGGGCAGACTCCCGAGGCGCTGCTTAGAGAGTGTGGCTCGGCTATAAACCTTAGTCCGCGGCGGTGGGGTCTACGTGGGGCGAACTAAGGTTTAGTCCGCCTCACAATGTCAGAGCTCCGCATTGGGGGACCTAACCTAACCTGACTCACTATTGAGTTACTGCTTCGGTCGGTGCCGAATTTTCCTTGCGCTTAATTTTCTTGGCGCCGAATTTTCCTGGCGCCAAGTTCTCCTGGCGCCGAAGCCAGCACGTCAACGCTTGAATGATCATTCAATTTTTTGGGATGACGAGTGTCTCATCGGAACTGAATTCACACTACTTCATTCTCGTATTTTCTGCGAATTTCGAACTTTGACTTTGAAATTTTATATTGTGGGCAATTGCCTTGAGATAGCGCAGTCTATCGTAGCTTTCATAGGCTAACACAATTTCGCGCAATCGTTTCTGTCTATCTCTATAGATGCGCTTGGGAATCGTATCGTTTCCTTGGGCCCCAGTATTGGTTATGCGAAATTCCGTCATTCCTTGCTCAAGTTGGAGCTTTCCTAGCAAAGTATAAAAAGTAGGATGACTTGAGCCTAATCTCCGAGCAAACGCGGAGTGCTTTGATTCGACGGCGTTGTTTGTCCTGGCCTCTCCACGTAAAGTAACCTCATACGCATTCCACCATTCCAATCGAAACACCGGCGCACTGAAATCTCGGCCAATCCATGTTTTCTCGAAATATTTGATGAAATTCGATAGAATATATATTCGATCGGAAGAAATTCGAATCCTAAAACCACGTCGAAACCAACCTTCGCCGCTGCTTTGACCCCTCTCCTCAGTCCGGATTCGTGAATACTTCGTCCAGAGACGGCCGTATTCGAGTCATCGACAGGACGACTCAACCACTCTTCGGCCCATGAATTTCGATTGCTCATTGTGCTTGTGAATGATAGAACGATCAATTGAACTGTCAGCGCTGAGTGTTTATCCGATCGCGGGCTTGACGCTGGAAGCATTCATCAGCATCTTTCTATCTACTTCGATCTATCGAGTTCCAAAAGGTATTTTGAGCATCTATCAGCAAATCAGAACGCCCGCGTGAAATCTCCTTCAATTGAATTCTTAGGTCGATTCCCCCTCACTCTGGGAGCAATACGGCGGACACTGCTTCGATCTTAGCCCAGACGAGCGGCACGTGCAGAGCAAAGGTTCCATCAAAACATCGATTCTGCCAGCGTGAGCGGGCCCACGTTGTCAGGAGCAGGAACTTTGAGATATCCCATTCCCTAGGTTCTTGGATCCGCTTCCAGACTAGCCTTCCGAGCGACTCATCAATTGTGCGAATTCATTGCCAAGACGATGGTCGGATTACCCATTCGAGATGATCTCGCGCTTGCTCTAATCCCGCTGAGACGAGTCTTCTTCCTGTCGTATGTTGTTGAGCGCATCCTCAGCGTCGAGAATATCGAAGCTTCCATCCGGGCCGCTTCTAAGTCTCACGAGCCGCTATCGGTGTTCAGGTCCACGGCCAGGGAAATCTAGATAGGAACTTGCTCCCGAGAAGCTCCAGGCGAGAATCTCGCGAATTGTTTACTTGAGTCGAAATCTTCCGATATGCTACTCAGCTCCATTATTCCGCGATTGGCAAGTTGATCCGATTCCCAGAATCCCGGAGGAAAGCCTCGGCGGATTCTGACATGACCTCCAGAGTCCCGGCGGCGGCCGGCTGAATTCGCGCTTGATCGTGTCTTACTGGGAATGCTGCTAGAAGAAAGCACATTGATTGAGGCTGCGAATTATTTGCCTTATCTGCTCCAATGAAACTTCATATTCGATCCGGCATTTTCTGTATCTGTCTGACTTTCCCGGGGGACCCTCGCGGATAAACAAGTTGAATCAAACACTGAACTTATAATACTACACTCTCTCTCAATATTCCTCACGAAGCCGCGATTCAAGAACGTGTCCCCTGAATCCTGAAGAACGATTGCTCGTTCATTGCCTCTGAAAAACAGATTTGATCGTTCCAAGTCAATGCAAGGAATCCACTAACGGCCTTGTCGACATTGCTTCATTGACTCACTGCTTGACCGCCTTGTTCGGTTGGTCGCCTGGACACTGTCGTGATCGTACTGTTATCGTAGAACTACGCTACAGCCCCCGGTAGGTGGACAAGATGGGGTGCGAATCGTGGAAAATGGTCAAAAACTCCATCGTCGATATTCTCGAAAACAAAGCATTTTATGAGGAAAACTGTTATGGGCAAATATGTGGGAGTGCTTGTGAGGCATCGTCAGAAGGTCATGCCGAACTCGAGAATCCTTTCTTCGGGTTGAAAAAGGCCATAATATAGGCTCGAGTTCAAAATACTCGAGAACTACGCATCCTAGCACAAATATCATGATGGCAAGAAATGTTTAGCTTCGGCAACTTCGACCGTCTAGACTCTAGACGATAGCGGTTCGATTCCGTCAACTACTTACGAAAAAGAAGGCGATCTCTATTTTCGGAATTCAATCGTGCCTTAAAAGACACAATTCGCATCCGCAGAAACATTGGAGCGAAAAAAACCTATTCTCTGATGGGTATACCAATGATCGCACACGAGATCATGATTTCCATTATGATCAAGAGGGAAAATTCGAGGATATCCGCGATGAGTCGAAGTGGCGCCTTTTATTCATACGAAGTTATCTCATCATTTCATGGTGAAAACGATTCTTACTGTGAGTTGAACTCGGAGTCAACGGACCTCATCGTATGATAATTTTCTCGCCTGAAGATGCCACTTAATGTCACTTCCTCAAGCGTACCAATTGCCTTCCCAGAAACCCTTGAACGGTGCATTCCAATTATAAAATCGGAGTGAGAGCCCAGTGCAGTAGAGCTGATGTCGATGAATTGGAAACTCTACTCCATCTCTGGGAGATAGGAGAGAGCAGAGCAGTCAGAAATTCTCATTCAGGAGAGCCTGATATTTTGATATAAACATGTCTAAGAATCCAGGTGGAAATTCTGAAAAGCGTAGTTCTACGCCCATGATCCCACTGAGTTAGAGACTCAGTCAATGGCCTGCGTGTTGTTTTTTGCGTGCTCGCTTGTTTTGTTGAACGGTCGGACGGATGGTTGGTTGGCTTTTTGGTCAAATGCGTGCTCACGTTGCTGCGCGTAAAAGCCACCGGAGCAATTTTTATCCATTCCAACGATCTATGTTGTCCAACGACTACGGTCTTCGAGCTTCTCGTCCATGCTGATCGTAGTCGTACGGGAGCTCACGAGTAGACTTATTCGTAGTTCCCGATATCCACCTAAGCCGACTTGGTCGCTATCTCATGTGTCTGCATTTTGGCAGCCCGTCCCGAGTCGGAAGCGTCCGCAGCTTGGATCGACTCCCCATGGTATTCAGGTTCTCTTTGTTCCATTGCGTAGTCGACCGGCCCTTCTTGAGTAAGGGGGCTCTGAGGTATGAGTCCGTCAGGTCCCCATCGTGCATTGCCTCTGAGGAAAGCCGCTCGTGATAAGCATGCGTGCGAATCGGCAAACCATTGAAGAGCGCTCGCTGGACGCAGTGGATCTCTCGCGAGAGACTCTGACTCTCCTCTCTAGCACAATCAGCTTCGCAGGATCGGAGAAAATCACTGTCATATAGTAAACTTGCTTTTCAGACTGGAGGATAACCGGATATCGACATGGCGGGAAACTCATCGGGCATCGAGGCTGTGGTTGGAGCGCCGCTGTCACCGCAAATGATTGCTCTTTTCCGAGAAGCTATGCATTTCGACTCCCTCGAGAAAAAAGACGTCGCTGTACATTCATTCGTCGTTTTCGGAGCATCGGTAAATCAGACACTTCACTTCCGAGATCCCGCATCCAAGATGCAATCGGACACTACTCAGCTGGGATCCTGATTATTAGTGAAATCAAATCCTCTGATTCTAGGGCGATCTCGCGAAGAAGAAGATCTATCCTACCCTATGGTGAGTAGTGACGTATCTTTTCAGTTCACGCCACCTCGGCGGTCCGTTTCGCGGAGCTCGCATGGTTGCCTATATTATCATGAGCAGGAAGCATCAGCAGCACTCCCGGATTCTTTCCGTGATGATGATTCTTCCCGATGTACCCCCTCATCGGGAATTAGGAGACCCCTGTCAGCAAGCAGGACCGCGATCGGCCAGGATATCGCGTTCCTTCTTTTCTGCGATAGTCCCACATGCTGTCCCGGAAGCTTGCCGAAGTCCCATGCTTTGTCCCGCGCCGACGACCTAGTCGGAGTCTCCCGTGCCTCAGCTGACTCCGATCGAGCCTTCTCGATTGAAACGTATTTGTCTATGATGCTTCGATAAGTTCGACTGTCGTTCTCGCTGGGAATCGACTTCCCTGGGCTGCTCGAGCTCCCTCACAGGCTCCGGGGTTCCATGAGAGGGAAGCGGTGTCGCTTATTCCGGAAAGCATCGAGGTAAAAAGGATCCCTGGATTATTTCGGGAAGCACCTCCCGCGAAGCGTGCGACCTCCAGTCCCCACGATAGCTGATGAGCATTCTCGGGGGAAAATAGGAGCGGCGGGAGAGGGAAACATCGACGTTGCTATTGCATCTTCTCGAGTTTCGAAGGGTATACCCGAAACCTAGCGTCTCAATCGAGAACCCTGACTCTCCTAGAAGGAACAACCGGCGAATCGAATATAGAATTACCATAATCAGTCGACCTCTGTGGGAATTATTATCTGCGAGACCAGTAGCTAGGGGCGTTGAGGAGCTATAGAGACTCGAGCCGGAATTCTGGAGTTTCGCGGCTTATCATCCGACGGAACCCGGTCGTGGCCCCGTGTAAGCCTACGGTTCCGTTAGCGTCAGGTCGCGTAACGCTGCTATGGGCACTCCTCCTTGGATGTACAAGAGGAGGATGTTCGGTTTCTCTGGAAGCGTGCAATGCATCGATTCGTAGTCCAGTGGTCAGTGAATTAATTCGGTGTCCTGGTTCCGATCCCTCTAGGGCTCTGTTCCGAGATAATCTCCTCCCAGTCGGTACCAAAATCGTCGGATATGCTCGCACCTCCCTGACGATGCAGCAATTGGAGGACAAAATCCGACCTTACATTAAGGTAAGCTCCATTCATCCCACCTTCACAGGCCTTGAACATTCTTCCGTTGCTCGATGGCCGAATGATGTTGTTAATTTAGTCCGTGCGATGCGACGACCGGTGTAAGGATCGACCGAATGAAGGCAAACCCAAGCGATCTATCATGATCATGAGATGAGGGAGGAAAGAATTCGAAAAAGCGTTTCGGTAGGAGAAATACCAAATGACCTTGCGACTAATCATTGAATATTGTTTCGGTCGTACAGTTTCGCTCTTCCCCGAAAAACGCTCAGGTACAGTTCTTATCTGCTCTCTGACTGTCCTTGTGCTTTTCACTGTGCACATTCCGTTCCACTGTCCTGTAAACCAAGAGAGGTTCCCGCGATCGTCGCCGGGCGATCCCGTCGTGTCCACGTCCGTCTCACGTGGATGATGGTCTCGATGATCCGAGGGCTCTCTCATCTGAGCCATAGCCTAGTGTTCGTCTGGTCATGACGCACCTTTTGCCTCCCGAACTGCGATCCATGAGCGTCTGAATGAGGATCTTCTTTCATCAAATGACTTGTAGCTGATAACTAGTCTGAAGTCCCGAATGTTCCCACAGCTGCGCGAAAGTGACGAAACGAAGTTCGTGGAATTCCTTTCTTCGAACAGCTATGTCGCCGGAGGCTACGATGACGCTTCACCATTCGAGAATCTTCAAGCACAGCTCACCGCCCTGGAAGACACCACAGTGGTAGCCAATAGGCTATTTTACCTTGCGCTGCCACCGACGGTTTTCCAGCCCGTGTCGAAAATGGTCAAACAATTCTGTATGAGCAAGAGGTAGGCGGAGGGAGGCTGGCAGGCTTAGCTGATTCGCGACAAAAGCCAATCTGAGTCGGTAATATGATCACCCAGCTATCTTTTTCAGCGGCTGGTCTCGCATAATAATCGAAAAACCATTCGGGAGAGACCTGAGTTCGTCAGCTGAATTGTCCAGACATCTCGCGTCGCTCTTCAAAGAAGATCAGATTTATAGAATCGATCACTACCTTGGCAAAGAAATGGTGCAGAATCTCATCACACTGCGATTCGCGAACCGGATTTTCAGTCCCACTTGGAACAGGTGAGCTCAAGACAACATTGATTAGGTGAATCAGAGACCTGGATTGGAATAGATGTAGATGGAGCGAGCCATTGATGGGAGGCAACAGAGAATCACGTTTCTCATTTGGACGGGCTCCCAGATCTGTGGTCGCAGATCCGGAGACTGAGGATGTTGAGCAGAGGCATATTATCTCGGGGGTCAGAGAGTATCCTGTGGTTCTCG